GACTTTAAATTTGGAATTAACTAGAAAGAGAAATAGTAGTGGTATTAATAAAGGATTACACATGATAAAGGATTAGCCTAGATAAGTTAGTTGGAGTATTTACTGCCCTGACTTTTTACTGCATGCTATTATTTATGGTTTGTCTGATATACACTTGTTTCTTTTGTAGTGTTATGCTTATAATACTGAAATTTACAAATTACTTTGATACAAAGTATGATTGAATTTTTTAGTCCAAAATTTCAAGACTAATTTCAAGTTTTTATAAAAGATTTCCTCAATTTTAAAAAAAGTTACTCAATTGTACCAAGTTGAAATACTGAATTAGTAAAATTGACAAAATAATTTTTCCAGAAAGTAAGAGAAATTAAAAAATACTTATTCTAATGGAATTCATACCTATTGCTTATGAACATTTACTCCTTGGCTTTGCTTGTTTTTAAAATTTCATATTATGGGTTATAAAAGTAAAAAATGTAATTTTAAGCTATTTCTTATATGGTTATATGCAGTTGCAATTGTGTCACCTCGTAAAAGAAAGAAACTTCTATATACTTAATAAAGATCTTAAATCTCTCCAGGTTTTTTCCTAAATGAAAGCAGGTGTTGAACATTGTCATCTCCTAATACATTGAGATTACTAAAATATTTAATTATTTACCAGGATTTGAAGTAGTAACCAGATGTTTTCAGTTTTCCCAGGATGACTTTTGCATCCAAACATTTACAATGGAAATGAACTAAGTTTACCACCTTAACAACAACAACAAAAAGCAAATAAAACACAGACACAAGTTGTTTCTTTTGAACCAGAATTGAAATGATATTCATTAAACTTACAATGAGCCTTCTTACTTAACAGTGAGTTTCCATAGCCAAACCAAAAATAAGTTTGAAGTTTTCCCTCATGCTTAGCCATCTTTATTAGGACATATTTGAAATAATACTCCAATTTTTACTGGTTTTAAATATAGTTTTACAATTCTTAGTAAATAAATATACCTGAGCTACCATTATCAATATCCAGTCTATAGAAGTTTTATTGCATATATTTGAAGTATATAATTTGAGAAGTTTTGTTATATATTTAAAGTTATGAAACCATCACCACAATCAAGATAATTATATACATTGTCTCCAAAAGTATCCTCCTGTGCCTCTGTGAAACCCCTCTTTCTTGATCTTTTCATGCTTGCTTTCCCCATACATGTCCCTCGGCAAATCACTGGCCTGTTTCTGTCACTAGATATTAGTTTGCATTTTGTAGAACTCTGTATTAATTGAATCATACAGTGTATACTTTTGGGGTGGGGGGGTGGAATCTGGCCATTTTCACTCTGAATAATTCAGAAGAATTGCATCTACCAGTAGTTCCTTTCTGTTTGTTGTTGGCAGTATTTAACTGCGTGAATATACCTTAACTTTTTTATCCATTCACCTGTAGTCGATATTTGGGTTGTTTCCATTTTGCACTTTTTTCAAATACAACTGCTGATAATATCCTTGTATAGTTTTTGTACATTTCACTTCACTTGGATAATACCTTGGAATGGTGTAGCTGGATCACATGGTACTCTTCTGATAGTGGGTTCTTTATCCACTTTTACATTTGAAAAAGCTTCATTTTTGAAAGAGACTTTCAGTATATTTAGAATTCGAGGTTCATGGTTTGTTTCCTCAGTACTTTAAAGATATTGCTTCTCTGTCTTGCTTTCATTGTTTCTAATGAGAAATCTGCTGCCACCCTGATCTTGGTCTGTCTTTTATTCTCTGGTGGCTGTTAAAACTTTCTTTTTATCATTTGTTTTGAGAAGTTTAATTATGTTATGCTTTGGTGTAATTTACTTATTTTTATTTTCCTTAGTGTTTATTGAACTTCTTGGAAAGTTTCAAGCACATGATAGTTTTAATCACATTTGGAAAATTTTTAGTCATTATTTTTCCAAATGTATTTTCTGTTCTCTGTCTTCTCTACTTTTCATGAAGGACTTTAAGTACTCTTGTATTAGGACACTAGAAGTTAAACTCACAGCTCACATATGTGTTGTTTTGGGATTTTTAATTTGTTTTTTGTCCTCCAAGTCTTTCCTTTCTGTCTTCTGTTTTTGATCATTTATATTGCTCTAGCTTCAAGTTCACCAGTCTTTTCTTTTGCAGTGTGAATGTGCCACCAATCCCATACAGTTTTTTTTAATTTTTTAATCTCAGACAATGTAGTTTTCACCTCTAGAAATTTTTTTCTGTTTTTTTTTCCTGATTTCTTTGATGTCTCTATTCAACATTTTAAACAGAATATATTTATAAATAACTGTGGGAATGTCTGCTAATCATAATATTTATATCAGTTTTATATTGGTTTTCATTTGGTTTTCTTTTTTAAATGTGTCCTATTTTTCTGTTTATTTGCTTTCCTGGTATGATAGGCAGAATATTAAGAATGACTTCCAGAATCCCTCCCCTGTGAATATGATGGGGCATCACTTCTGTGATATGGCAAAGGAGAGTTTTACATTTGTGATTAAGGTTACTACTCATTTGAGTTAATGTAACATACAGTTATCTGGATCAGCTTAATACAATCACATGAGCCCCTCAAAAAGCAGAAAAATTTCCCTGGCCAAATATTATTATTAAAGCTACTCAGTTGGGTCTGATTCTTTGCGACCCCATGGACTATACTAGTCCATGGAATTCTCCAGGCCAGAATACTGGAGTAGGTAGCCTTTCCCTTCTCCAGGGGATCTTCCAAATGCAGGGATTGAACCCAGGTCTCCCGCATTGCAGGCAGATTCTTTACCAGCTGAGCTACCAGGGAAGCCCAAGAATACTAGAGTGGGTAGCCTATCCCTTCTTCAGTGGACCTGCCCCACCCAGGAATTGAACCAGGGTCTCTTGCACTGCAGGTGGATTTTTTACCAACTGAGCTATGAGGGAAGCCCTCCCTGACCAATGGAAGAAGGGAAAATCAGAGAGATATGAATCATAAAAAGGATTTTATGTGCCCTTGCTGGCTTAGAGATGGGGTGGGATCACCTCTAGAACTTGAAAATAGCCGCTGGCTGTCAGTAGTAATGAAATAGAATCCCTAGTCTTATGGCTTCAGGAAACTAGATTTTGCCAATAACCTGAATGAGCTTAGAAGCAGGTTCTTCTTCAGAACTTCCACATTAAGAGCTCAGCCTGGCAGACACAAAGATTTCAGCTTTATGAAATCTTTAGCAAAGAGTGCAGACCCTCCCACCCAAACTCTGACCTACAGAACTATTGGGTAATAAATGGGTGCTGCTTTAAGGCACTATGGTTGTGATAATTGGTAATACAGCAATAGAAAACAAATATACCTGGTAATCTCTGAATGAATGCCAGACATTTTGAATTTTAGCTTGTTAGGTCCTGGATATTTTTGTACTCCTACAAATATTACAGATTTTTTTGAGCTTTATTCCAGGTCACAATTAAATTACTTAGAAACAGTTTGATCTTTTGGGTAATGCTTTTTTTAATTTTTATTTTTTTGAATTATTTTTGGCAGTGCTGGGTCTGCATTGCTGCACACAGGCCTTCTCTAGTCATGGCGAGTGGGAGCTACTCTTTGTTGTGGTGCCTAGGCTTCTCATTTATGTGGCTTTGCTTGTTACAGAACACAGGTTCTAGAGCCCACGGACTTCAGTAGTTGTGGCTCGAGGACTTAGTTACCCTGCGGCATGCAGAATCTTCCCAGGCCAGGATTAAACTCACATCCCCTGCATTGGCAGGTGGACTCTTAACCACTGGACTACCAGGGAAGTCCCTGGGTAATATGGGACTACAGTATTGTTTAGTTTAAGGGTAATTATTCTCTATTCCTGAATCAAGACTGAATACTTAGTCTGAGGAACCTTCTGTACTTCTCAGGAATTCTGTCTCTGGATAGCTGTATTTTTTCCCTTATGCTGGCTGTGAAGTCTAGCCCCCTCAGAGCAGTCTCAATACTCGTTTCTGTCTCCTTAACTCAGGTAGTCCACTTGGCTCCACCTGAGTTCCCCCTTTCGGTACTGATGTCCATTAGCCTTTAACACTTTTTTTTTTAAGTTGTTTGAGTTGAGAGTAAATACAGACTTTCTTTACTTTGCTGAAAGTCCTTTGGTTACTTTTAAATAATTAAAAACTTTAAATAAAATTAAGTTTTAATTACTTAAGTTTAATGGGACAGCTTTTCCCAGGAAATACTCTTCCTAAAGTGCTTACTATATGCAGTATCTAAAATTTTAATACTGAAGAACCATTTTAAAATTTTAGTACACTAACTCTAGCCCAAATGATGACAAAGCCATATCTCCAGATGGCTAAGCTCAGTGGTCCTCCGTTTCATTTGAACACCTTTCATATGTATTTGCCTAAGGAAATAACAATTATTTTATGCTTGGATAATTATATCCCATTATTATTTGACTAACTAAAATATTAAAGTGAAAAGATAATGTTATTTTTACATCTCAAATAGAACAGAAATCCATCTATTCAACCCCCCCCCAAAAAAACCTATAATCATTTTCTATGTTAACTGCAACTATTAAAAACACACGTTATTCACATAGTCAGATTTCCTTGTTTCTAATTTCTGTATGTCTGTTTTAATAGGCATATTATTTAGCTTTATATTTCCCCTCCCACGTGTTTTATCCACATTAATTCTGTAATTCTTCCATGTAATTACAGAAGTGACTATTCATATACACTAGAAGATGATGTAACTAGTTTTGTTCTGTGCCCTGTAGACAGCTTTTGGGAAGTGCTTTTCTTTCTATATATTTTTTTTATAGTTGTCTTAAGTGAGAGTTTTTAATAAGTTTCTCTAAATAAAGCAGGAAAGAAGATAGTTACCTCAGAGAACCTCTGGGAGAAGAGATTTTGTTATTTTAGCAAACATTTCCCCCCTCTATTTCTTAATAGTTAACAAAGACATAATTCTATGTGTGGAGAATTGATATTTTCTTACTTGATACTTAAATGTGCTATAGGTACTCTGGAAGTTCGTCTTATGGGCTGTCAAGACATCCTAGAGAATGTCCCTGGACGGTCGAAAGCAGCATCAGTTGCGCTACCTGGTTGGAGTCCAAGTGAGACCAGATCATCCTTCATGAGCAGAACGAGTAAAAGTAAAAGCGGAAGTAGTCGAAATCTCCTAAAAACTGATGACTTATCCAGTTCAGTATTCAGATTTTTTTTAACAATTCACATAACAAATTAAAGTCCTATACAGAGGGCTAAGCGGCGGGGACAGGGAGCGAGAAGAGTCAGAGCTGGACAGCAGACTGTGAGATTATGGTCTCCATAGTCTGCGATATCAGAAGCTGCAGCGACAGGAGAGTTTAAGAGGCTACGGAATTTACCATGCTGAAGATGCTGGAAATCTGAATGACATAGCGTTCATTCCTTTGGAATGATGAAATACTGAGCACCACTCTTTATGACAGGCTGTTTGTGTCACATCTTGATTCTTTGAATGGAATAATGACACTGCTAAAGTAATGAAGAAATTTTGATAAGTAACCATGTTAAATTAGGATTATAGCCTAGTGTCCAAGAAGTAAACTAAAATGGGGGAGTGGATAAAGGTGGTAAGAACAGAATATAAGAGGTTTATGAAAGTACTTTGGAGATACTCTAAAGTAGTCATAAACTATGATATAAATATATAACCGGTGGGAAAGGCATGTGACAATTCAGCCTAGTACAGTATATCTGCTTTCCTGTATGTGGAGAGAGACTTTAGGAAAAATGTAAAAATAAAAATCGTTTGAGGTAACAACCTTAATAGCAAATACGGAGGGAGAAAAACCAGGTGACTGATAATGATATATAAAAACACACCCACACATACATGTGGTGAACAGCTACTGGCCCCCTGTCAGTCCTTTCAGTCATTTTCTGATGTAGATGAAATACCAATTACTATTTGTATTTTTGTAAAACACAAAAGATATCTTGGAAGGGTCTAGTAGGAGTGTGTGTGTGTGTTTATACACAGCTAGCTGTTTAAGATTTAAAAGCTTCAGTAGTGAGTAAGAAAAACTTATTTTCAAAGTATCATAAAACTTTTGTTGACATTAAACAGTGTTATTTCTATTTTTAAAGGTTTTAAAATACTTAGTCAAATTTTAAATTGTAATTACAGATGATGTCTGTGCAGTTTTGAAGCTGGACAATACTGTGGTTGGTCAAACTAGCTGGAAACCCATTTCCAATCAGTCGTGGGACCAGAAGTTTACACTGGAACTAGACAGGGTAAGATGAGAAATTTTTTACCTGAGTTTTCATTATATTTATAATTCATTTTTCATGTATATTTTATGTTTTAGAAGAGTTTGATAAATTTTATTCTTAACAGAATCCAAGAAGAACCTAGGTATTTTTGACATTTCTCATCTGATGAGGTATATATAAATCTACCTTATCAGATTGCTGCAGGAGCTTTCATTTGTGCAGTGATTTGAAAATATATACTTTGTACTAACCTGAAAGATCGACAACCAGGTGAGATCTAATATTGAACTATTTTTTGAATTTTAATAATGTGCTCTCTAACCACTAAGGAGATTTTTCTGACTCACCATTTGTGGGTTATATTATCAAAGCTGGATTTGAAGTGAACTGTTATGCTCAGACAGACATTCCTCCATGTATCTCAGTGGATTTCATGGATACTGTGAGTGGCTGGAATGTAATCTATAGCTGCAGAACCCAGCAGAAATAAACTTGGTCCAGAGTAGAGTTAAATCCATGGTGATAATTTTACACATTCTGATTTATCCATTGGTGTGTGGGAAGAAAATATTAAAATTTAATCATAATTTTATCTAAATGATAAGAAAGATGTTTTTATCATTTAGTATTCAGGTTAATGGTACATATGTCTTTAAAAAATATGTTAGTGAAAGCAGATTTATATAGTGCTTAATGGTGATATGAGGTGGCACTTAACTACTCTGGCCTCTACTTTTAAAATATTTTTTCCAGTTTATTTCTTTTCTATCTCAGAGGCAGCATCTTAACCAGGCCCTCACCATTGCTTTTCTTGGTTCAAATACTATGTCAGCCACTTAAATGTATTTGGACAAAATGGTTAACTTTTTGTGTATGTCAGTTTCCTTATCTTTAATACTACCCACCTCACTGAAGGGCTCTCCTGGTGGCTCAGCAGTCAGAGAATCTGCCTGCAGTGTAGGAGGCACAGGTGTGATCTCTGGGTCAGGGAGATTCCCCTGACAGGGAAGTGGCAACCCACTCCAGTATTTTTGCCTGAGAAAGCCCATGGACAGAGGAGCCCCGCTACAGTCCATGGGGCTGCAAGCGTGGGATATGACTTAGTGACTAAACTACCACCACTAGAGAGCTTTTGATAGGGAAATTGACATCTGATTTAAATGATCAGATATAAATAATACAAATATTGTTGATGTTGTTCAGTCACTAAATAGTGTCCAACTCTGCAATCCCATGGGCTGCAGCATGCTGGGTTTCTCTGTCCTTCACTGTCTCCTGGAGTTTGTTCAAACTCATTATCCATTGAGTCAGTGAAGTCATCCAACCATCTCATCCTCTGTCACTCCCTTCTCCTCTTGCCCTCAGTCTTTCCCAGCATCACGGTCTTTTCTGATGCTCTGGAAGAGCTCTTTTCCAGAGTCGGCTCTTTACATCAGGTGGCCAAAGTATTGGAGCTTCAGCTTCAGCATCAGTCCTTCCAATGAATATTCAGGACTGATTTCCTTTAGGATTGACTGGTTTGATCTCCTTGCAGTCCAAGGGACTCTCAAGAGTCTTCTCTAGCACCACAGTTAAATGCATCAGTTTTTTGGCACTCAGCCTTCTTTATGGTTCAACTCTCACATCTGCACATGACTACTGGAAAAACCGTATCTTTGACTATATAGAACTTTGTTGGCAAAGTGGTGTCTCTTCTTTTTAATATGCTGTCTATGTTTGTCATAGCTTTTCTTCCAAGGAGCAAGTGTCTTTTAATTTCATGGCTTACAGTCCCATCTGCAGTGATTTTGGAGCTCAAGAAAATAAAGTCTGTCACTGTTTCCATTGTTTCCCCATCTGTTTGTCATAGTGATGGGATCGGAGGCCATGATCTTCATTTTTTAAATGTTGAGTTTTAAGCCAGCATTTTCACTCTCCTTTTTCACCTTTATTAAGAGACTCTTTAGTTCTTCTTCGCTTTTTGCCATTAAGGTGGTGTCATCTGCATATCTGAGATTGTTGGTGTGTCTCCCAGCAATCTTAATTCCAGCTTGTGATTCATCCAGCCCAGGATTTCACATGATGTTCCTCGAATGTAAGTTAAATAAGCAGGGGCTTCCCTGGTGGCTCAGACTGTAAAGAATCAACCTGCAGTGAGGGAGACCTGGCTTCAGTCCCAGGATTGGGAAGATCCCCTGGAGGAGGGCATGGCAACCCACTCCAGTATTTTTTGGAGCTTCCCTGGTAGCTCACTTGGTAAAGAATCTGCCTGCAGTATAGGAGACTTGGGTTCGATCCCTGGGTAAGGAAGATCTTCTGGAGAAAGAAATGGCAAACCATTCCAGTATTCTTGCCCATGGACCAAGGAAGCTGGCAGGGTGACAATTCACAACTTTGATGTACTCCTTTCCCAATATAAATATAGAAGCTAATAAAAAAGTAACTAGCCCATAATGGGGAAAAGTTTATAAAGGAAGAAAAAAAAAAGCTCTAACAATCAAATCTTAAGCAGTATCCCTAGCATAGGAAAAGAAGGAAGATTTGCCAAGGAGAAGTAGAAAACTGGGTAGAATCAGATCATAACCTTATGAAAGCTTATCCAGTATCTAGTGAAGAGTTGCTAGGATGGTGAGATGATGAAATTCCTGTTACAAATGAAACACTTGAGAGAAAATGGGATTTAAAATCAATTATAGATTTAACTAAGATTTGGTAACTGTCTTTAAAGTGAAAAGGAGGGGCTTCCCTTATGACTCAGAAGTAAAGTATCCACCTGCCAATGCAGGAGACATAGGTTTAATCCCTGATCCGGGAGGATCCCACATGCCTCAGAGCAACTGAGCCCCTGCACCACAACTGTTCAGCCTGTGCTTTGGGAGCCACAACTATTGAGCCCATGTGTTACAACTACTGAAAGCCTGTGTGCCCTAGAGCCCATCCCTGCAACAAGAAGAAGCCACAACAGTGAGAATCCAATGCACTGCAACTGGAGAGTAGCCCCCACTTGCTGCAATTGTTAGGTTGGTACAAAAGTAATTGCAGTTTCAGACCATGAATTTTAAATCATTATGATTAGGCTTCAAACCCATTTTTAGTTATCAAAATAGGAATCATTGCAATCAACACATTTTTGCCAATGAGAAATAAGATTATTTATTCTTGTACCATAAAAATTCGTGCTTCAGGATTCAGTAAGCTTTTTGAAAGCATTTTCTGCCTCCCGCTAGTTGTGTGTTTTCCCTGCATAAAGTTGTTGAGATGCTTGAAGAAATGGTAGTTGGTTGGTGAGAGGTCAGATGAGTATAGTGGATGAGGCAAAACTTCGTAGCCCAATTTGTTCAACTTTTGAAGTGTTGGTTATGTGATTACATGGTCAGGAGTTGCTGTGGAGAATTGGGCCCTTTTTGTTGACCAGTGCTGGCTGCAGGCATTGCAGTTTGGTACATCTCATCGATTTGCTGAGCATCCTTCTCAGATATAATGTTTTCTCTGGGATTCCAAAAGCTATAGTGGCTCAAACTGGAAGCAGATCACCAGAAACCATGACCTTTTTTTGGTGCAAGTTCGGCTTTTGAAAGCTTTTTGGAGCTTCTTCTCAGTCCATCAGCTGAACTGGTCATTGCTGCCTGTCATACAATCCACTTTTTGTCGAATGTCACAATCTAATTGAGAAATGGTTTGTTGTTCTTATGTACAGTGAGAGAAGACATGCTTAAAACGACGATTTTTTTGATTTGCAGTCAGCTCATGAGGCACCCACTTATCGAGCTTTTTCACCTTTCTGATTTGCTTCAAATGCCAAATGACTATAGGATGCTTGACGTTGAGTTCTTCAGCAACTTTGCACATGGTTGTGAGGGGATTGGCTTTGATGATTGATCTCAGTTGGTCGTTGTCAACCTCCAATTGCCAACCTCCTTTGCAAAACTTCTTGAACCACCACTGCACTGTCTGTTTATTAGCAATTCCTGGGCCAAACACGTTGTTAATGTTCTGAGTTATCTTTGTTGCTTTATGAACTTGAATAAAAAAAGTCACTCAAATAAAAAATATCACTTGAATTTGCTTTTTGTCTATCATCATTTCTATAGTTTAGAATAAATATAAAATAAACCAATTATTAAGTCATCAGCAAAAAACATAAAGTAAGAAATGTACATTAAAGTCATGTATAGCGTTGTTCTTCAGTCACTAAGTCATGTCCAACTCTTTGCGACCCCAAGGACTGCAGCACACCAGGCTTCCCTGTCCTTTACCATCTCCTATGGTTTGCTCAAACTCATGTCCATTGAGTCAGTGATGCCATCCAACCATCTCATCACCTGTCATCCCCTTCTCCTCCTGCCTTCAATCTTTCCAGCATCCAGGTCTTTTCCAGTGAGTTGGCTCTTCACGTCAGGTGGCCAAAGTATTGGAGCTTTAGCTTCAGCATCAGTCCTTCCAATGAATATTCAGGGTTGATTTCCTTTAGGACTGACTGGTTTGGTGTCCTTGCTGTCCAAGGGATTATCAAGAGTCTTCCCCCACACCACAGGTTGAAGGCATCAGTTCTTTGATGCTCAGCTTTCTTTATGGTCTAACTCTTAACATCTGTATATGACTACTGGAAAAACCATAGCTCTGCCTATATGGACCTTTGTAGGCAAAGTAATGTCTCTGTTTTTTTTAATCTTTGTCTAGGTTTGTCATTGCTTTTCTTCCAAGGGACAAGCGTCTTTTAATTTCATGACTGCATGAAATTTATACATCATGAAATTATATGTCATGAAATTAAAGGAGCAGAAGTCACCACATTTATTTAAGAATGTATTCCAGTTTGGTTCATTTGCTCAGTCATGTCCGACTCTTCGCGACCCCATGAATCACAGCACGCCAGGCCTCCCTGTCCATTACCAACTCCCGGAATTCACCCAAACTCGTGCATCAAGTTGGTGATGCCATTCAGCCATCTCATCCTCTATTGTCCCCTTCTCCTGCACCCAGTCCCTTCCAGCATCAGGGTCTTTTCCAATGAGTCAGCTGTTCACATGAGGTGGTCAAAG